GGAAAAGACAGCAGAAAATCACAGGAAAAAGGCAGTAGGAGCGTGGGGAGCAGGGGGAGAGCAGAAAATCACAGGAAAAGTGGCGGGAGAGACTGAAAGGTGGCAGGAGCAGAGAGAAAACAAAGAAAGGCAGCAGAAAGTCTCAGGGAAAAGGCAGTAGGAGCGTGGGGAGCAAGGGGAACAGCAGAAAAGCAAGGAGAGGCTGAGAGGTGGCAGAAAAGGGGAGATGGAATTGGGAAGAGATTGGGAAACTAGTGGAGAATGATGGGGCTGCAGCTGAGAGAGAGAGAGAGAACAAGGCTTGAATTTAAGATAGGGAAGGGACTGGGGTTCAGTAAAACAAGACCCAACTCGGGGTTGCAAATGACAGTGGTTTTATTGAACAGGGGAGATGGTGACACAATGTCTTATTGGTTCCCTTGCACTCACTCGCCCACTCACACACAATGGTAGCAGGGGTTAGAGAGGCTTGGTGCAGGGGCTGAAGTCCACTGAAGTCCAGGAGGAGAGAGAGAGAGTCCAAATTGTAGGAGGAGGTATGCAGGTAATATCTACCTATCCCAGGCTGGAAGTTGATCCTCGATGGCCAGTTGGGGTCTCCTTCAGCTCAGTGTTGTCCAGAGGGGGTTGCCAGCAGGGCCTCTGGGGTGGATAGGTGACGTGAAGCTGGTCTGGTCCGGATGGAAATGGCATTCCACTGGGTCTGTCTTCACTCGCCCTTTTTATAGGGGCAGACCATGTGTGACCCTAGTGACAGGAGGCATGCCCAGGCAAGGGTCAGCCCCTGGCGTACTGAGCATGTGTGCTCCATGCAGGGATGTGCAGTTTCAGGTGTCTACAATGGTGGGGTACAACGGTAGAGTTGCTGGTTCTGCAGGGTCTTTTGTCTTTCAAATGCTGGGTTCTTGTCTCTGTTCCTGGGTGAGGTCCGTGGTTCCTGGATGAATCAATGCGAGATGATGGCCCAGTCATTACAGGCCATTCAGTAGAGGCCTGCTACCATCGTATTTCAATCATTCCTAATCACTCCCATTCATCTGGGAACCAATTTACATGGGAGGGGTATCATACAGTTGTAACATGGGATGTCTGGGCAGAGGACACAAGATGGAGGCTTGGCATATAAAATGGAAAATTGACATGACTTTGGTTCACTTACAAACACAGGCCTAAACCATACAATATCCATATGAAACAATAAAAATCAATACAAAAATGATAATAATACAATATACAACAGTAAAAATCAATACAAACCTAATAATTATACAATATAAAACAGTGGCTATCCAAAACCAAAATCTTGCTACCAAAATAAAAATGTTAAAGCTTATCCTAAGTCTAAGCTTGCTTCTGCTTGTATATAGGGAATAGAGGAGAGAAAGAAAAGTCAGGAATAACTGGGGAAGGGAAGGGAATGCATATCTATCATATATATTAAAAAAAATAGAGAAACTGGGGGTTTTGCTACAGAAGAGAGACAGTAGCTCTGCAGGATAGCCAGAATAAGATACTAGATCTCTTTGGAGTGTCATGAAGAGAAAGTCCTCATTAGGATACTTTCAAGAAACGGAAATGTGGACATGGGTATGGTAGACTGTTTTTCAAGTCTTTTTACTCTTCCTGCTTTGTTCCTGCTAAGTAGGCTGTCTGTCCCTGTACACTTCTGACAACAGACCCCTAAAGAAAAGAACTGCAGGGGCTTGCACTTTGTCAAATCTTTAGAATAAGAACAGTTCATAGATTCATAGATTCATAGATGTTAGGGTCGGAAGGGACCTCAATAGATCATCGAGTCCGACCCCCTGCATAGGCAGGAAAGTGTGCTGGGTCTAGATGACCCTAGCTAGATGCATATCCAATCTCCTCTTGAAGACCCCCAGGGTAGGGGAGAGTACCACCTCCCTTGGGAGCCCATTCCAGACCTTGGCCACTCGAACTGTGAAGAAGTTCTTCCTAATGTCCAGTCTAAATCTGCTGTCTGCTAGCTGGGCGCCTTGGTGAATAAAACCACACCAATTCCCTTCTGTGCCCCCGTGATGAACTTATAGGCAGCCACAAGGTCGCCTCTCAACCTTCTCTTGCGGAGGCTCAAAAGGTCCAGGTTCTCTAGTCTCTCCTCGTAGGGCTTGGTCTGCAAGCCCTTAACCATATGAGTGGCCCTTCTCTGGACCCTCTCCAGGTTATCCGCATCCCTCTTGAAGTGCGGTGCCCAGAATTGCACGCAGTACTCCAACTGCGGTCTGACCAGCGCCCGATAGAGGGGAAGTATCACCTCTTTGGATCTATTCTTCATGCATCTGCTGATGCACGATAAAGTGCCGTTAACTTTTCTGTTGGCTTCGTCACACTGCCGACTCATGTTCATCTTGGAGTCCACTAGGACTCCAAGATCCCTTTCCGCTTCTGTGCCACCCAGCAGGTCATTTCCTAGGCAGTAGATGTGCTGGACATTTTTCCTCCCTAGGTGCAGCACTTTGCATTTCTCCTTGTTGAATTGCATTCTGTTGTTTTCTGCCCACTTGTCCAACCTGTCCAGGTCTGCTTGCAGCTGTTCCCTGCCCTCCGGCGTGTCCACTTCTCCCCATAGCTTTGTGTCATCCACAAACTTGGACAGAGTACACTTCACTCCCTCGTCCAAGTCGCTGATGAAGACATTGAAGAGTATTGGTCCAAGGACCGAGCCCTGTGGGACCCCACTGCCCACACCCTTCCAGGTCGAAACCGACCCATCCACCACGACTCTCTGGGTGCGACCCTCTAGCCAATTTGCCACCCACCAGACTGTATAGTCATCCAAATCACAGCCTCTTAACTTGTTCACCAGTATGGGGTGGGATACCGTATCGAAGGCCTTCCTGAAGTCTAACCCCTCCTCTTGTGTCCAGGCGTTTCGTAACCTGGTCATAAAAAGAGACTAGATTAGTCAGGCACGATCTGCCTGCTACGAACCTGTGCTGGTTTCCCCTCAGCATAATTTGTCCTGCTGGGCTCTTGCAAATGTGAGCCTTGATAATTTTTTCAAAGACTTTGCCAAGGATGGAGGTGAGACCAAGGAGGGAGTTAATACTGGGCACGTCTACACATGTGCCCCACTATGCAATTGGTACTGCACAGTCATTTAGGACTCGCTTAAGTACTAGGTTGTGCTGTAGCAAGTACTAGGATGTTTTAGCAAGTACTAAATGACTGCGCTGTACCTGCTGGTACTGTGCAGTGAAGGGGTAATTTCCAACCCTACTGTGCAGTAGCAACAAGCAACTGCTCAGTAGCTCGTTGCTACTGCACAATAGTGGCAGCATCATGGTTAGTGCCTGCTGATGCTACATCACCATAGCAACGAGCTATGTTGCCATAGCTTATCGCTACGGCGACATAGCATCTCGTGTAGACATATCCACTGGGTACAATTTAGGAGTGAGAAGAACTGCAAAATTCCATCACAAGATAGTGAAGGCACAAGGCCTACCACTGGATCAGATGTATTTAGAGAGGCTGAAAGGAACACAAGTAATTATGACAGACCCATTAAAAGAGCTGGAAAACACCCTTTTTGTCAACATCTGAGGATATTTCTAGTACTGATAACGTGTTCTGATTAAAATAGCTTTGAGAGGAAGAGCGCATAAAGCATTTTGCTGGCTGCTTTGAAAGGTTTAAAAGTTCTAGTTACATGTAATTTGAGCAATTAGAGGAGGGAATAGAGTATGAGTTGCTGAAAAGATTAGGGATTTATATAAAGACCCTGCAGGAAGAAACTTGCATGAGACAATAAAGAAAACAGCCCAGGAGCCTGAAGAATATAAATCCGGTTAATGCCATGAAGTAGTTGAGTTCAAAACATGCTAAAATGAGAGAGTTTTTTCTTTCTAAAGTGAGCTGGAGAGAGATCTTTTCTGAGGAACGGTTCAGAGAAAAAGAGAAGGTACGCAAAGGAAGCAGTTCTTTCTAGATCAAGGTTTGAGCTCAATTTAAATGTTGAAACTTAGACAAAGACACCCTTCTTTCTCTCTCTTCTATCTCTTCATGGATTAAAGCCAATCTGACAGCCTTTTGAGACTGGTGACTCAGGAGTTAGGGAGTGATAGATTATAAGCAAGACACAAGTAAGCAAGCAGCAATTAAAGTACTTTAAAAGGTGTCCAGCCTAAAAATACACGGCTTGGGCTAAAGGACAATGGATGTAGGCAACAATATTTTGCTTTCCTTCTCAAAGCCTAAAATGTTTGTGTGCAATTTGTGTGAGCTTCCATAAACTCTTGGCAAATTCTCGTAATGCCAGGGATGTTTTGTAGAGATTGTGCTATAATATGAGCTTCCTTGGGTTGTCTGATATCACCCCACAAAGTGCTCTACAAGCCGAGTCTAGCCTTGTATATATCCCAGAACTTTACGTGAAAAGGAAATCCCAATACATAACTGCAATTTTAGCTTTTGGTACATGATCTTTTAGCCCCTAAATATCACTTTCATTTTATGGCACTCTACAAACATTATTTATTTTTTACAGAAATAATTCTGAATAATAATGAAATGAGTAGTAATGAAAAAAAATATTAAAGGTACCTTGGCTTCAGAGAAGGTTTGTAGGGAATCCCCAACTGAGTTTCATTTAATGGATTTTCTTGTTTGGGCGCTAAAATATTCACTTTCTTTAACAGAGGTTATTGTAGGTTATCTTAGATTCAATGGCACTGAAGGAATTTAAAGAATAGCATCCTGTAGGAGAGTCAAATTATAAAAAGGCAAATAAAAGTAACTGGCATGACAAGTGAATCAATATTGTTTTATACCCTGCATGCCATATTCCACATTTTACAATGAAAAATGCCCATGTCTATTTACTTTGCTAGCTTTAGTAAATATCACACCCATTTTTTACTCCTCCTTTTCCTCCTCCTGAAGCATCTCCTCCCCTCTGATGGCATTACTTGCACAAGTGGGTATTATATAAAGAAAAGTTTCCAGAAAGCATTCTCAGTTCGCCCACCTTAGCCGCTATGGGGCTAAGACTTGCCAGCCTTTTTATCCTATGGCTGGCTCTTTCCTATGCAAGGGAATATAAAACAGGTAAGAACTGGAAATGGTCTATGGAAGAACCTTCTAATGGAAAAGTATGGAAACTTGCAACTGAATAATTTAAAGGAATTTTAAAATGGCTAAATTACCTTTATATTGAATATGTGAAATAGATGCTTCGTGTGAAATAGATGTTGCTCTTTTGGAGAGCAATTCTATACTGTTGGATGTGCTCAATGGCTATATCCTTCATATTGGTCTCTAGTCTGATGGAAAAATAACATTATTTTTCCTTACTACGTTTTCAGACAGTTTTAACTGCAATAATTGTGTAGTATAAATGTTTACAGGAGTTAGAAAAAAAGGAGATGAAGATCCTAGGCTGGATAGGCATCTGGCTGGGGTCATCTGACCCCAGCCCTCTTTCCTGCCTAGGCAGGGGATTGGGTTCAGTGATTTGTTGAGGTCGCTTCCAATCCTAGCATCTATGATCTATGGAAATCTGTGCATTTGGCTACACTGAAAAAGTGTTTTGTACTTCCTTTGTCAAAGGTGGTTATGTAGCACTTGGCAAAATGTTACATTTTTTTCAATCCATTGCTCTAATAATCCCAGTTTATTTCTTATTCTATCTTCCTAAAAATAAGTTTCCAATTTAATGGGTGTAAGGTCATGGAATAAATATCTATTATTTACACCACAGCAAGCATTTTAGGACAGACAGGTAATGCTCTCCTGATTAGCATTTGGATCAGGGGCTTTGTCCTTTGTTTCTTGAATTTGCAAGTGTTATGGAGCATTGCTTTCCCATTCCGTTTTCTATCAGATGCAGACCTCTGCAAAGATGGGTTCTGGAAGAATTTATGTGGAGAAAGAAGCATCTTGAGCCTTTGGTTGAATACAAAGACTCAAAGAGGGGAATTTGGGAATCCCTGAATGACCTCCCAGAGGAAACAGTATCTATAAATTTCTCGAGAAACTTAGCACTGAACTAGATGCATGAAGTGTAAATACGATGCTTTTTTGCATGCAGTAAATACAGTGAAGCTAGTGCCTTCAAAATCCAAAGTTTAAAGTGAGCCTTTTCACAATGAACCTTGTGATTTGAATGCATATACCTGAAATCAGAGGTGTCCTCTTACTATTTTAGCAGTGTTCTCTTGCTATGCAAAGATTTGGTACAAAAGCCTCAAATCTAATCTGCAACAATACATGTAAAATTTGTATCAGTTGTTGATGTGGAAAAGTGGGGCAGGAATATAAAGGAGTGTACCAAACTCCTCCTTTCATAATACTTCTTTTTTTTTTTCTTAGTATATTCTCTTGTCTCCTTGTGAAGGTTGATCATACTATAAGTTCTGAGTTCTAGTTTAAATAATGAACTCGAGTTCTGCACACATTATTTTGTGACAGGACAACATTTCTGCACAGAATAATAGGGGCTTGATTGGCTTTTCAATACATTTGTTTCCCTTCTGGTAGATATTGGAACAATCAAAGCACTAACTCCCATAAGGAATGTATATAATAAAAGTATTAACCACAAAATAATTACAGTGATTTAAAATAAATTAATACCTTTGGCATGAGAGCTAAATGGTAGCTTAATGGTATTGAAATATTATACTCATTATAGGTGTATTAAACTGCTCTGCTTGAAGCAGTCAACAGCTTTCATCCATCTGGGTAAGAGGGACCCAGAAATTCAGATCTTTTCTGCATATTTTGCAAATGCTAGAGATTTAGAGTTGGCTAGAGTTTTACAGGACATCATGCACATACTTATAAATGACTTGCTATGCATACCGTGTCAGTTTACTTTCTCTTGTAAACCTAGTTGTATTTTGCAACTAAAGTGCGAACGTGCCACTCTTCTACAGTAAAATGTTGCTTAATAGTGGAGAATGCCTGCTACTTAATTTCTTTCCTTTTTTTTTCATGTCTTTTCTACCACCTAGCAGGTAGAAGCCAAAACCACGGCCACCATGTCTGCAGTACCTGGGGAAACCATCATTTCAAAACTTTTGATGGTGATGTCTATCAGTTTCCGGGCCTTTGCACATACAGGTTTGCTTCCGACTGCCGAGAGACTTACAAGGAGTTTTCTGTCCATATTCAACGTGGTCTGAATAGCAGAGGACACCCTGAAATCCAGAATGTCCTTGTCACAATTAAGGATGTTAAAATCTACCTCACCCACAAATATGCTGCGGTGGATGAAGAAATGTAAGTTCTTCTAGTATTTTAATCTTTCCAGGAACTGTGTAAACTTCTATGAGAGATAGTATTATGTAATGTAATATATCACTTGAAAGCATGTATTGCAAGCATTTCATGTGTCAAAAGAAACATTGGCGATGACTTATATTTGCTTGCATGCACTAGCATCAATGCTAGCTTCTGTAGATCTCTGAGACAATCTTTCTGTTGAATTGTTCTATTTTTGGCTGTGTGTGACAGAGCACAAAACATGGGCCACATCCTTATACGATGGAAATTGGCACAGCTTCATCATTTTCAGAGCACCTATGCCAATTTATATGGATTTGGTTCAACAGGTCTGCATAAACTAACATAGGTGTTTTTACTTCTCAGCAAAAAAAACGTGGATTATTTTTTCTTTTCTTCTTTTGAGTTATTTAAATCCTAGAGGGCATTCTTCACTAGATTATACCAATTATAACTCAGGTCAGTGTTGGGGCTTAAAAGTAATAGACTCTCTCCCAATTAAGTGATGGCATTTTCCTACTCCTGTAATGTGATCATACAGGGCATTAGCCTGCCAACATTACTCCTGTTGAGTAGTGCATTATTGTGCAAGAATGAACACTCATAGAGTAAGGCACTGCTCCTAGGGGCCAGGGTGACAGAATATGAGCCAAGATTAACATATTTTAGCATGTTAAAGGTACTGATGTTGTGGTTTTGGTTGTTGTACTTAACACTCTCCCTTTAATTGGAACCCAGGTTTTGATAAAACTGTGGAACCTGCTCCAGTGAATACTGATGGAAGGAATAAAGAATAACAAACTATTTTCTAGGCACTAAGGCAACATATATGTACAGGAATATTGTGAAGTCTTTTAAAATATATTACTGCCCCAAATGAGAGAGAATTTAGTAATGCATCAAACTGTTAAAAGGAAATTTACAGGCAACTTTTTAGAGGTCCTTTAAAGGATCCCATGCAGCTCCTGTGTGTGCAGAGCCTATTCTTCTCTTATACATTGTTCATAAATCACTAAAACCCTCTTAAAAGAAGGCTTGTAGAACAGGTTTTCACTGCATATACGATTTACTGCCTTTTAGTATTTAATTTCCTCTATTGCTTTTCTTGGTGCTACTCTTGGTGTCTGATTCATTGTCATATAAAATTAGGGTTACCACATTTCCAGGATCAAAAAAGAGGACACCTGTGGGAGGGAGGAGGGAGGAAAAGGAGGGGTATAGGATTGTGGGGGGTGGGGCAGTGATATACCTATGCCTGCCTCTGCCTCTCACTCCTAAGCCCCTGTCCCCCCAGCGTTGCCAGTGTCCCTCACTCATGAGCTGCCTCCCTGCCCCTTCAGCCCCGCTGCCCATGCAGCTCTGCTGTGTGCACACACACACACTTACCTGGGAGCAGTTTGCTGGGGCCCATGTGCAGAGCACTTGGCCCCTGGCAGCCAATCACCTTGCCTGCTGCCGTCAGCCCCAAGCATCCACGCTGCATGTGCCCAGGAAAAGCAGAGGCAAAGCAAAAACCTGGACACTGCTTGCATTTTAAAAACCCACACGGGCACAAGGACAGGGGGCCAAAAAAGAGGATGTATCTGGGAAAACCCGTACGTATGGTAACCCTAATAAAATATCATTATATTATATATGCCATTATATATGCCTGCACAATGAAGCCTGTAATGTAGCTGCATTTTAGTATTTGCCTTGAGGTACACAAAATATCGACCTGAATGTTACTGGTAATCAGATGGGTTCCCAGGAGGGAGATCTGGTGACATCTTTTTTTCATTCCATCATAAAATGGAATTACCTGGTGATCACATGCTACCAAGGGGTGGAGATGGGATAATTCTGGTCTAAGTTTAGCATGCATATTCCTTTGGGGCTTCTAGTACTTCTCTAGGGTTGGAAGTGGTGTTAAGATATCACTTAGAGTGTGCTGGAAATAGTGACTTCCTAAATTTTTTTTATGCTTCTATAAGTTATCTTGGAATTTGAGGCTCAATAAAGCTTATATATATTTGTAGAATATCACCATTGTGAATCCTGCTTAACTCGGAGGCAGGCCAAACAACATTTCAGGGCAGATACTGAACCATCCTGGTATATAAGAGTCCTTACTGGGAACTCCATTATCTGCATTGAACTATGTTTTCCAGATAGTCCTTTCAGTAAGATTTCTATAACTTCATAGATGCGTGGATGAGGGAAAGAACAAACCAATTATGAAGTCAAAGAATGAAGGCACTAACATTTATAAAGATGAAAATTAAAATAAAGAGCAAAGACAAAAGGCAAAGTAGAAAAAAGGACATTTTTTTTTAAATCTCAGAGCTCTACCAGAGTTAGTGCTGTGGAGTTTGCCTAATAATTTGGGACCTACCCAAATTGAGGAGGCAGGAGGCCAGTTTTGCAGGCAGATTGTATGGTTGGCATCCATTTTTGCAGACTTATTGTGGTAGGTTCCCCCCCATGCCTCTGATTGGCTGAGGGGCCCCAGTGCCCCTGTCCCTCACTACTGCTTGGTGGAGAGGGGTGGAGCCGCATGACAGGCAGGCCTCTCAGTCAATCAGCATTGAGGGGTGAGGGCAGTAGCCATATCCTTCGTGCCAGCAGCTCCCCTTCCCCCTCTTCTCCTGGTGGGTTGTGCGGCTGGGATGCAGTGTCCATGAAGAATTTTATTTTTAGTAAGTTTTTTTTCATGGATTTTGTGGACAATGCCGAACTTCAGAATTTCCGCAAAATCCACAAAATCACAAATTGAGTAGGTCTTGACTCATAATTATTATACATCCCTGTGATCTGATTCCTACTTCAGATATAGCATTAAGAAAAGCTCTCCCTCAAAAGACTTAGTTCACTAATATACATATCTAGTGCTTTAACCATTCTCTTCTGAAAATGGGAAGGAGTGGGGAGTGAGGGAGAAGAGGAGTTCATCCTTCACTGTGTATGGTATGACCTGCAAGTGAGTGGTAATAACAAGCATTTGTGAGTTCCCAGGTGCTAGCTAGAAGTTTAAAAGCTTGGGTGTTTAAAAGGTGTCCTAATTAGCTGGCAAAAAAACTTAGTGACAAGAAATTAAGATATACATTTCTCCTTGTCACAAGACAGGGCAGATTGTAAACAATGATACATTTATGCGTGTGAGCATAGGCAATAACATTTTTGGCTGCATTCCAATGTAAAGTACTTTTTGTTTGATCAAATATCAACCTCTTGAGTCTTTATAGCGATAAGCTGTTTGCTAGAATCTCTTTATCACTGACCTAAGTTCTGTATTATGGCTTGTATATGCAGTATACCATAAGGCAGATATTCAGTGATGAAGTATATGTGTAGCAAATTATCTTATTATCTAGCAGCCTCTTTGCTCAGGCCTCTGCTTGATAGACTTGCATCATACCAATGTCTTCTGGTATCCCTGTAAATTATCCTCTTTCTATCATTAAAAAAATGAATATGGTGAGCAGTGAATATTTTCTCTGTCCCAGTTAATTTATTCAATTGCTCTGTTTGACTGATGGTACATGTAATTTTACCTTCTTTCCTTTCTCAAGACAGGGAGAGAGAGTTAGCCACATTTGTCTGAAGTGAGAAGGCAGGGCAAGGTGCAAACTTAAAGACCAGCTTGTTCAGAAAGGCGTCGGTTTTTGTAGGCTGAAATTTTGCATATGCCTGGATTGTTATCATATTTTGCCTGTGTAATGGTCAAGCAGGTAGAGAAGTCCTCAGAGATGCTGTTAAAATGAGAATCTGAGTTGGATTTCCATGGCTAGCTAAAGTAGATACTGGTTAGAGCAATTTCTGAAAATATTAGTTGCCTCATGTATATCAGAGAGGAAGGTGATTTATAACCCAACTAAAAAGGTTTAGTCAAGTATGGTGGAGGACGTCTGTAAGGGGCACATTGAAATGGTGGCTAGTAAAGGGATTGTCTACAAAGATCAGTTTCTCCAAGCATCCAGATATCTCTGATGTAACAGCTCAGATATTCAAGCCAATCCTTTCTGTTGTTTGTATTGAGGTTTAATGCAAAATCTCTGGTGTCCTTCTCTTCAGAGTAAAGACACCACACTACATGTCTGGTATACTGATTGAGACCAGTGATGTCTACATTAAAGTCTATGCAAGAGCAGGCCTGGTTCTGATGTGGAACCGTGAAGATTCACTAATGGTATGTATGATAATGAAATTCTTTTTCTTTTCTTTCTTTTTTTAACCGTTGTCTAGGTTTAACACTGTAGCATAGATTGAACAGAGCTGCTGTGTTAAATAGACTCTTCCAACAGGAAATGTGGAGGTAGCTTATTCTTTAGTGGGAAGGTCCTTCCTTCATGATGTGAATGGAGTTTGGGGAACAGCATGAACACAAGTTTTTGCTCTGTCAAGGAAAGTAGAGAAAGGAATGTTTAGTGCTATAGGTAATCTGATTTTTGGTTTTTTGGTTTCCCTATCTAGCTGGAGCTGGACCCCAAGTTTAATAACCATACTTGTGGTCTCTGTGGGGATTACAATGGACAGCAGGTGTACAATGAGTTTATCTCTGGAGGTAAGTGGTATGACAATGCAGGTAGCTGCCACAGAAAGTGAACTTATAGATTCTATATGTGGAAGCATCACATATTGGCAAATTTAGAATTTACAGTATGAGACCTTAAAAAATCATTCTGAAATTTTCTTGTTATTGCCACACAGTTAAAATGTTAATGGAGTACTCTTTTCCAGTTGGATGTGCTCACTCATGTAAATGCTAGTGTGGATTTTTATGCTCACTACTGAAATAATGAGTTTTCTTAGTAGTATTCAAGTATTCAGAATATGACTCATGTGGAAGATACAGTTGACAGTATAATAACCACTTTGTTAAAATGCTAGTGTCAGGAGTCAAATGTACATTTTGCTATATTTGCTATGCTTATTGCAGACATGGAATACAATCCAATCACATATGGAAATGAACACAAGATTAACACACCCAACTCCATATGTGAAGACCCAGACGAAACTCAGCAAGTCACAACCTGCCATCAGCATGTAAGTAATCACAAGGGTGAATTTTACATAGTTGGAATCTGAAGACATTCTTGTACTATGGCAACAGCATTATGTGCAGAGATGTGATGACTTGGCATTTTCAGAGGCAGGCACTATTATGTTCTCAACTAACCCCAAAGCTAATCAGTTAATTTTAGAAACTGAGATCACACCCCATAGGCAGTTGCTGGATATAGAAGCTCACAACCCATCAGGATAAGCACTTATTATTATTATGACCTGTAAAAAGCCATAACAAAATGTTGAATCATAGAATCATAGTCCTGGAAGGAATGTCAAGGGTCATTCAGTCCAGCAACACGCTCAGTTACAGGAAACACTGTTACTACAATATCCCAGACAAATGCCTATCCATTCTCTTTTGAGCTTATCTCACTCCATTTTACTAGTCAAGATATGACCCTTTCAAACGGGTAAAAGGCCATGCATTCACATGCATGTTTTTGAGAGGAAATTATCCAGAGATCACCCATGACCCAGCTCTGTCCCACTTTCACGGCTCTAAGACAAGCCCAGGAACTAAGGATTCTTGTAGCAAGAAGGAACTTTTCTAGAAACTTTAGTGCGCTGAAGCCTGTTAAACCCTTCTTTTTTTCTTCTCCTCAGCATGACGAGTGCACACAGTTACTGACTTCCCAAGCATTCAGTGACTGCCATTCCCGCCTGAATCTGGAAATGTATGTTAATGCATGTATGCAGGACAAGTGTGCCTGCCAGGAAGCTGAGGATGCTTTCTGCCTCTGCAGCACCATCTCAGAATACTCTCGCCAGTGCTCTCATGCTGGAGGCCGGCCGAGGAACTGGAGGACAGAAAAATTATGCTGTAAGCAATTTCAAAGAATTTATTGAGCAGCTAGCTCCTTATGGATGAAACCCTGCAAAATATTTAAAAATGCTCCTCCATTTTATATATTAGTCATTTCCTACCATTCCCCTCCTCTGTCTTTCATTCAGCAATTAGACATTATGTTTCAGATAAAAGCCCTGAATTTTTTACATGAGTTAAAAAGGGACCAACATCTTCAGTTCAAGAAATAAGATAAAAATGTAAAGGAGTTCAGAAATATATATGCATGAAATACAAAACTAAACTGAGTCCTCTTGAGCCCAGTATTTGTACTTTGATTTCTGTGGAGTCCAAAGTTTTTTCTTTAATAATGGATTGCTTCTCTTTTTGTTATTTTTAGCTAAGTCGTGCCCTGGAAACATGGTCTACCAGGAAAGCAGTTCCCCATGCATTGATACTTGTTCACACCTGGAAATCAGCAACCTTTGTGAAGAACACTACATGGATGGCTGTTTCTGCCCAGAAGGTAGGTGTGTTTCTGCCCTTGGTTAGGCTGCAGATCTCGTTTCAAGTCTATTCGTATACTCCAGAGTAGGCACACCAATATGTGCAATTAAGGTACAGCAATAAACTCCAGCGCTTATGGTACTGGAGTTTATTGCTCCTGGATAGGCTGTTTGAATGTACACCCAGGACTGTAGCACATTAAGCCAGGGAAGAGCCCTGGCTGGCAGGGGGCCCCAGAGGTCAGCCTGCCAGCCTGGGGCTACTCCTGCCTGGTTCAATCTGCTGCAGAGCGGCTGGCTGACACATGAAGATGCTTCAGTGCAGGGCTAGCCAGGAGGCAGCCCCCGCACTGATGTGCCCTTGTGCGCCAGCCACCTGTGTCAGCGTCTACACGTACTACCCTACAAGTACTACCCTGTTGTTGAGTGTATTAGTTTCCTGCAGCTTATTAGGGCCGCACATGTAGACACCTAGACGTTTACTGCAGAGCTAATTGGACAACTCCTCAGCAAATGTCTCGTGTAGACAATCCAGTGTGTCTCAAAGGGTTGTATCATTTATATCAGGACTATCCAACTTCTAAGTGGGTGAGGACCAAACACTCTGCTGGCCGCACCAGCAGGGGGCTGCATGCCTACAGACTTCACTGGAGTGAGCCCTGGACCTCCAGGGCTGCTTGCCATGCACACCCTGAATTTAGCAACTGAATCAATTAGGCGTAGTATTTCTACAAAAGTTATATAAAAATTTATTTGTTATTAACCCACATTAACCCATTTGGTCTCTTTGCTCCTCTTCTATCATACGACCAGCCACATATATTGTTTTATGAGCCTACTACTGCCTCTGAAATAATTAATCTGTTCAGTTACTGAAGTAGTAAAGAGTTATGCTTTCTTATATTTACTGCCTCTGGATTCAGTCCTTGTGGATGACCCATTGAGTATTCTTACATATATTTTATCTGGATGGAGATATTAATCGTATTTGGCAGTGAGCTCATAAGCAAAATTCTGAGATCTTACTGCCAACCTTGGGAAAATACCTTTATAATATTATCTCCACAAGAGTAGTGTAGTAGCTTATTTACATTTATACATTTGTAGGCTGAGGTTTTCAAAGCTGCACAGGGAATTTAGCCAGGTCCTCTAATAAAAGTAATGAAAACTGTGCTGCTAAATCTCATTCACTTCTTTGTGAACCTCATTCTTTAGCTTTGGGTGAGGTCCAGCCTTATGAGTTTCTCCTCTATTGGTAGGTCCTGGTATTTGAATTTTTTTTATGTGAATAATGAGAGTGTGCTGGTTGATTTTATAGGAACTGTTTATGATGACCTGACTGAGAAAGGTTGTGTGGCTGTTAGCAAATGTTCCTGTAAACTACATGGACAACTGTATTCACCCGGGCAAAAGATTGCCAATGAATGTGAAGAATGGTAAGCGTTCCAGTGCAGTGCATACCTTTCTTAGAATTGCCGTGCATGGGCTTGTCTCTGAGTTGACAGCTAATTTCTGGCTGTTCAGCTGAAAACAGTCACAATGTCATTGTGCTTGTGTTACAGTGACCTGATACAACAGTGAACCAATTTTATGGCCTCCTGGGACAGTAATATGTGGAAAAGAAATTTTAAAACAATGGTCAATGATACAGCTTCAAAACCCCTGGGGACATGGTGTCCCATGTTAATGGTGCCTGTTTAACATAATTTTCAGTGTTTTGAGTTCCTCTGTTACTGTATACATATTTTGACTCCTTATTTGTGTCTACAGCACCTGTGATTCAGGCAGGTGGATATGCCATGATCTACCCTGTCCAGGGACATGCATGTTGGAAGGAGGCTCTCACATTACCACTTTTGATGGGAAGAAATACATCTTCCATGGAGAGTGCTATTATGTGCTAACCAAGGTATCACATATTGGACACCTTTTTAAGAATACAGTAATTACAAATGTGTATTCACTCTAATTTTGTGGCATAAATCACTGTTTCATTACACTTGTTGAGATAGAGGAGAAGGAAACTGCAGAATCCATGCTTGAGAATTTAAAGTGAGATGTGATATCCCAGCACTCACCCCAAAGGAAGTGAGGGTCTGTGATCACCCACCATTTTTTGTGACTGACTTAACAGTTTGTGGCCCTGCGATAGCTATGAAACAGGTACACTGTACACTATTTAGGAGTTTGTTTCATAAGAGTCCAGAGGAGCACATTTCCTGCATGTTTCAAATGGAAAACTGAACCTACAGCTTGAAGTTTTAGCTCTGCTTAAAGAGATCTGCATTGAGGGTCTGAAGTCTTCTACCAGAAACCTGTAATAGTGTCTGGCTGAAATAAGACGTGTCTATATTACCTCTGGGTGTGCTGATTTGAACTACATCCTGCCAACTAACTCTTGCTCTGTGCACCAATACCCCTTAAGGCTATGTAGCTTCTGCAGAGCAAACCTATATGTGTTTTCAGAGCTAAACTTAGGTTCTCTGTCTTGAAAACTAAATGGAGACCATCATCATGTCATTATACAAATCCATGGTGTGCCCATTCTGTGACCTTGGCGTGAAGTTCTGGTCTCCACATCTCAAAAAGGATGTGGTAAGTTTAGAAAAGGTACAGAGAAGGGCAACCAAAATGATCAGGGACATAGGAAAGTTGCTATACTAGGATAAACTAAAAAGGCTAAGACCTCTTCGTTTTGGAAAGGAGAAGGCTGAGAGAGGGATATGATAGAGGTCTATACAATCACATGAACAGGAAACTGCACTTCAACGCCACCCAGAATACTAAAATTAGGGGGCACCCACTGGAATTAGTAGGAGGCAGGCTTAAAGCTAACCAAAGAAAATACTTTTTATGCAACACACATTTAACTTGTGGGATTTATTGCCACAGGGGTGGAAGAGGCAGGTAGCATAGCCAGGTTCAAAAAGGGATTAGATAAATTCATGGATGATAGACCTATTAATGGCTATTGAACAGAATGGCTGGGGATGTTTTCTCTGGCATCTCTAAACCAATAGTGGGGCATGCCAGGGAGGTTACTGAATAGGGGTTAGATCACTCTAGAGATATCCAATTCAGTGCTCTCCTGTTACACCCAGGATGACTCTGAGGGCTTTTATTTTACCCAGAGTAATACAAGATAAGCCAAAACAAGTTCTTTAAAACCATTCCTTGGTTTAACACTCAGGCAAAATTACCAATAGCAGCTACATACAGCAGAGAATACATAGATTTACTCACTATGGGATGGTGAGGTCTCAGGACCTTCAAAATCTCTCCTCAGAGTTGAGGTAATTTCCAGGCTTCCAAACCTATGCAATTGCATAGTAGAGTTTTATACAGCTTGGGTTCAAATTTCTATATCCCTGCCCATTTCTGTGAAATAACTATCTCTTGGCCAATTGAGTAGGGAGCAGGGAAGCTCTGAGTTATGACCTGTGATAATTGTTTTTACCTGGGGTCATCACTTGGTGTTATCACGTTGTATGTATCTCAACGCACTCACTTGAGACTGTCCTTCACAACCCACCTTTCCTCACATGCTAATCACTGTGATTCAGGCTGAACTATTTTTGGGATCAGTCTGTCTGGGGGAGGAATGCAGTAACACACCCAGCACTAGGCTGTTTGGGGTGTCAGGACTCTCCAGCACTATACATTTGCCCTTTATCAGAGACAGGATACTGGGCTAGATGAACCAATGGTCTGACCCAGTATGGCATTTCTTATGCTCTTATATTCTTATGAATGCACCTACTAGTATATACTAAGGGCAAATACGCTTGTTTGTCTTCTTGGTTTGAAATCAGTTTGTGATAAGCGATATTTGACCATACAAATAATTTCTGTGCCCTTGTGATTGCAGAACACTGTCAATGACTCCCATACCCTCCTGGCTGAGCTGGGTCCCTGTAGTTTCGAAGACAAGCAGACATGTTTGAAGAATGTTGTGCTGTTGATAGACCACAAAAAAAATGTAAGTACTTTGTGGGGTCTGGTGGGCAGATGGAATCTTAATATGTTTTTTACCATCATTTTTCTAATTTATTTATTTATTTCTTTTTTTGGTAATTTCTCTCTGGTGATCCTGTCTGTGGATGGGTGATCCTGCTCAGGGAAAAAAAAGGAAAAGAAAAAGCAAGAAAACCAATTCAAGTCTTTCCCTTTGTTCAAAACTCAAATAAAACCTAGGATAAACAATTAAAAAAAACTGAGTGATTTTCTTTCATCTCTTTTTTGGTTCTGCCTAGTGCTGAAAATATTGCACGGCTGTCTTCATGGGATTTTCCATTGGATTAGGAACAAGAAAGTCCTAGATACCATATTTTATTGAGATTTAAGTTTGGATACATAAGGATTCGTTGACCTACGAGGCATGTGACTAGAAAGTTTAATCCAGGTCAAACTTCTCCGCTTTTAGAATTTCACGTATCACTAATGATGAGAGACTAAACTGGGAATCTTCACTAGGTCTTCATTCTCATGGAAATTTCTTTCCTGTATAACCTATTTTTCCATTGAGACTTTTTTATGTATCTCTAATATGTCCATCTTGAGAGTACATACACCTCTAAGACTTTTTGCCTCTATTCTTGCTATACATCTATGGTATTCCTGGTCTTTATATTGCTTTTAAATACAGTTTGTGTTACCAAAAGTTCATGCTATAATGTTATCAGGGCAATTATTCTGTGAAATTCCTGTCCAGTTTACAGTATTATTTGATTTTGTAAGCAAGTATACAACATGTATAGGAGAAATCAACATGGTACTTTTCCTAAATGCCAATATATTATGCCAGCTGGCAAGCCTGGGCTACCAAAATAAGTAAAATCCTTGAGGTGTTTTATTTCTATTATAAACTGCCTTAGGCTACTATAAAATCAACATTGACTGGCAAGCCCAAATCTTTGTAGACTTAGTGGATGTCAGCACAGGCAGAATGTTTCTTAACCAGTCAGATTCCTCCTTTCATATATCCTATATTCTCATCACAGTTTACCTGCACAACATAGGGATTTCCTTGTGTGCCTCTCCAGTTTTCAGGTTAATTTTCAAGGCATGTTTCCCATTCTGAGTCCACAAAGCCTAGTAACTTAACTTTTTTGCTCTTTGCTTTTCTACAGATTGTAGTTTTCAAAGCAGATGGCACAGTGTTACTGAATGAGCTGGTGATTCACTTGCCCCATGTGACAGGTAAGGAGTGGGGTCATCTCTCCTGGTTCATCCAGCGTATCAGGGAAAGAACTTTGCTGTCGTTTAGGCCTTTGAGGGATCATTTCTGAGGTACTGGAAAAACATTGTGGCCTAACCACTGGACTACAGCTATTTGTGGGGAAAGTAAGCAAGGAGGGAAGGATGCTCATAGGTTTAAGACAGATACCCAATAAGCCTTGTTTGATTTCTCAGATCTGCACAGCCCCTCTGCCCCCAAAGTTTCTGTGCAAGCTGCTTGGTCTTCTACTTGGTGTCCTCCTATCTCAGCCTCCCATCTTTAAAAACAAGGGGGCTGATAATACTTCAGTAGTGGAGGCCATGGAGATGCATGAGGCTTTCACTGATATGGAGCCAGCAATGTCATAGCGAACTCAAGGATGATTTTTGCTCTCATTGAGGGAGGAGAGAGAAGCAGGATGGGGCAGGGAGGGAGTTGGTTTACATATAACATATAAGTTCCAGTAGGAGGATCCTTTTCGTCTTTCTGCTTCCTGTTTCCCCCTTTTTTCTGGCTTGTGGGCTGACTTTAAACAATCTGTCCCTGTCCTTGAGCTGGTTTAGGCAGAGAGGTTACTGGAGTCATCAGCTTGGATTTAAGGCATCTGGTGGCTACTTTATACACTAGTTTCATGGCTAATGCAAAGAACAATGCCATTGGTGTCTAGAAGGAGTCACCTTCAGCCTTTTACAACTTCAGAAATTTTTTCAGTGACCAGGATCTGTAAGGGTTCTTGAAGGAGATCAATAAACAGAGGACAGCTGGAGGGCCCTGGAACAATCACTCAAAGGATCTGTAAATGTTTACTCCTGCCAGTTATGCATAATTAAGATATCGAGTCATCAGTCAGTAAGCAGCACTGCTTCTTGGTTACTGCCACCTTTGGCAAAGACAGTTCATTTGCAGGGAGGACAAACACAAAGGGGCAAGCAGTTTTAAAGTATTTGGTGGAAAGGATCTAGAGTAAAGTACTTCACGGAACAAGCAGTATAATTTAATATATAGCCTCCTCTTATCATATGACTCACCACAAGAGGACCATGAGCCCCAGCTCCTGGTGTTGATTTTATAGGATTGGCCTATTGATTTTTCCATTATGGCTTGATTATATAGTGCCTATATATAGCTTGTTTAACATCCACCAAATTCAGTTCTTGGGAATCAGCAGCCACAGCCACAATATAGCTGCCATTTGTCTGAGGCCATGGTTCTCAAACTTTTCCACATTGCCATGCCCTTTTCTACACTGGCACATCTCTCCCATTTAGCAAGATGGGAAGAACATGGGTGATTACCATCTTTGACACTTGTTTGCAGCAATAACATGAAGAAACTTTTGCTTGGAAATACACATGATTGGAAAAGTCTATGCTAAAAATAAATGGTTAGTTGTAAAAGCAGCTCTTTGTTTTGTTCTTTTGATGTAGCTTCAGCGCATGCACTAAATTCAGCGTTCTCCCTGTCTTAGAAATACGAGGGGTCAATTTGGTGCTTCTCTTATTCAAATTAGAATTCTGTTTAAGATTTAAAATTGGCTGATGCCTCAGGTTGATGTAATATAACATATCCATTCTTGCAATGATCTATGGAAGAAGGGGGGATAAAGAGTCACAACCTTGCCCTCTGTCCCTCTGCTGGCTGAAGGGCATAAATTGACCCTTAGCTCCTCCTGATATTTTGTGTTAGCACGTTCTGGTCTGGACAAAAGGAATATGCCTGGAATATCTTTTTACTAGTGTTGGGGAACAATGGCTCACCCTGACAGCAATTCTTCAGCCTGCAGAAGGATAGTGTGAGTTGGTCCCTTGGTTGTTGCCACTAGTGTCCCTTTCTTGATGCATAGCATTCATTGTGATGCTTGAAATACTGAATCCTTTGGTAAACTGCCCAGCCTATGGAAGAAATGGTGAAAGCAAGAAAAGTAAACTGACCAGCCTATGGAAGAAATGGTGAAAGCAAGAAGATCTTGAGAAAGAAATAGAAACAAAGAAAAGATCTTGAGAAACAAAAGAAACAAAAGATCTTGAGAAAGAAATAGAAACAAATGGAACCTGAGCAGGGAGAGGAAGCTCCAATTTATTATTACATATTTTATAGGTAGAGCTAATGATTTTGTCGAAATCTCTATCCTGTTCATATAACTTCAAATAAAGCAGCATACGAGCAGCATGTTTAGCACTATGAGCTCTCATGAAAAGGATTGGAGTTTGATTCCTAGTCCTAATGTAGAGTTCAGTCATCCTAAATAGCCTACTTATGAAGGGAACAGGATCTGGTACTGTTTCTAAGTGATCAGTGTTTATCTGAACAGAACAGAAGAGGTCTGTTTCTGGGTCTTCTCTATTGCAGTTTTCATGGCATACGGTGACTCAGCACCCTAATGTTTTCCTGATTCTGAAACTTCTGTAATCTTGGATGGTAAAACAAACAAACATGTGAAAAACATTTAGAAAAAAGTATCTGAAACACGACTCTTGTGTTTTCCAGCAAGCTTCTCAGTCTTCCAACCATCTTCACACTACCTCGTTGTGCATACGGATTTTGGTCTTAGACTACAGATTCAGTTGCTTCCAGTCATGCAGCTGTTTGTGATTGTGAATCAGACTGCCCACGGAAAACTGCAAGGCAAGTGCCCACTTAAAGTCAGCTTTCAAACAGATTTAGCCATAATGTTTTACAGTTGAACAACTGTTTTCTTAATTTTCTTGGTGAAATGTGCTTGTTACTGGCACAGTTAAAAAGAAAAACCACTAGTTGATGTAACCTTTTATTTTAATTAAGATATTAAGGAAATTATGTGCTTACAAGATGCCAGCAGAGACTTCACTAATGTATATTTTTCATGCCAAGTAAAATTTCTTTAAGCTTGTTATTCTTTTCCTTGGCCAGCCCTATGAACAGAAATCTTATCCTGTTTGAACAGCAACAACAGAATTGAAAGCTTTAGTGAGGAATGATTCCAAAATTCAAACATTTTACAGAAGAATTATTAACGAAAGTGGCCTATCATTCCTACATCAATGCAAAATTGTTGCCTGGAATATATTCCCCACTGCTCCGCTGAGTCGAGCTTTTAATCATCCATATAAGAAGGCTCAGATTGTTTTTCTTAGCAGATTATTGCATCAGAGACTATTAAAAAATTAAACAGGGGAATCTCCCAAGACATAGACCTCCAAGTGAAAACCCCCTACCCAGAGCTCAGGTCAAAGTGGGATGCCAAAAACTGTGATCACTACAATAGTAATTTAATGCTGAGTTGGATAAATTGCTTGCATGAACTTCTTGCTGGAAACTGCATGGTCAGATGTGCCCTTTCCTCTTTTGTTCTCTCACAAATGTGAATAGTAATTTAAAATATTTTTCTAAATAGGTCTTTGTGGGAATTTCAATGGGATGGAAGGTGATGACTTTAAAACAGTCAGTGGACTGATAGAAGCTACAGGCTCTGCTTTTGCCAACACCTGGAAGGCACAACCTACTTGTAATGACAAAGTGGATCGGTTGGAAGACCCTTGCACTCTCAGTGTTGAAAGTGGTAAGGATGCTAAGTATTCCTCAGTCTTTTATATATTACACCTGGTCGAACTACAAACAGTCTGTATAGAGAAATAATCTTTATTTAGGGGACTGACGTAAGGATTGTCTGTAATATGATGAGCTTGCCTATGACTCCTGACTGTTGCTTTCCATTTGAATAGATGGAAAGTTCACAAGGAAATTATAGAGGTCAGGCTGTTCTGAAAGACACAGAAGGGAGATTTTTTATTTACTGTAATATTTGTCTAGATCAGCAGTACACATTTCCATTATTATTGCTGCTTTTTAAACTCAATCTTATTTTGTGGTTATCTGATATGGGGGGTTTGGACAATCAAGGACTTCAGCAAGGCAATTCTCTCTAGATTTTCTGAAGTAATAGGATATTATTTTTAAAGTGTGCATGCCACAAAATTTGAATCAGGCACAGTAGTCAACTTTATGATGATTCTGTTTTACATCTTCACTCCAAACATGTTTACGGTTTTTATTTGTATTTTATTTTGGAGACATATTCATTTTATAACATAATGTGACCATATAATACAACAAGGAGTAGTGCAAAGAAGGTAATTTGATGTGACAACTGTTCTTACATAATTCCTTCTCTTCCCTTCTTTTATTATAGCATCTTATGCTGAGCAGTGGTGTTCTTTATTGAAACATTCAGAGAGTCCTTTTGCTAAATGTCATTCAGTCATCGATCCTCTGGAATATTATAAGGTAGGTATTTTTATGCTATACTGACACCTTCTGGTGCCAGTCTAATTCAGACAGGTTTTTATCATGTACACATTTTGTAGGGATTATTGAATAAATTGGGTATAAAAGTGGATACAAATCTGCAATGATCACCTGTGTGATTCCACTGCCTGCACCCCATACTCTTACAGTGGGCTTTTTTTATTGAATGTTATTTTAGAAAAGGGAGGTTATTTATTTTGCTTTGCTTTATGTTCAAATGACTGTGCGAATTTTGATTTTCCTTCATGAATTCAAAAGATGCAGAAATATGGAGCCATAATGTCCATTTGTTCCACCAAGAGTTAAACATATTTTAATGCAATATAGTTTTCTGTCTTAATACACAATCTATTTTGCTTCCTTGCTTGTGGGATTAACATCAGGCAATTGGCACACCATGTATTCATGGTCCATCACCTCCTATTGGCAACCAGGTAGAGCAATGACATTCAGAGCAATCTGGAGAGAAAAGAAAGAAACTCATAAACCGTTTTCCATTTTTAGAAACTAAGCTGAACCTTTGTAAACATCTTGACACATTCAGTTAACTATTTGCTGTTGTTTGTTTTTCATTTTCCTGGGTCTCTGAACATCTCAGTTGTGACAATTAAAAGTATTTGAGCCCCTAAAACAGCCTGTACAAGTGGCTAACTTTCAGTGTCAAAAGTTTGGCTGTTTGGATTGGATCTAGTTTTTTTTCTTGTTTGACCAAATGGAAATAAGACTATGTACCATCTGTGCTTTCTCCATCTATTCTCAGTTCATTCAATTGTGCTCTCTAATTGTGGGAGTGAGTGCAAGCCACATAAAAATAAAGCTCTAGACATCTCTCAGTTACCCTATTAAAGGTCCAGATTTTTAATCATTGTCCTGAAAGGCTTGTTTACAGTTTGTTCTTATCTATCTCAGAGATGCAAGTATGACACCTGCAGCTGTAAGAAAAATGAAGAATGCTTATGTGCCGCCCTCTCCTCGTATGCCAGGGCCTGTGCCTTCAAAGGAGTTATGCTGTGGGGCTGGAGACAAACTGTCTGCAGTAAGTGCTGAAACGCTAATTGCCTTGAAATCAACCACAGGGAATGGGACAGGGTGGCTGTTAGTACATTTACATTAATCCCTTTGAGTTAGAAGATTCGTAAGAGATGTCTAAGACATTTTAAGGAGAATACATGAAAATAATGATATTTAATATGATAATCTTTAAGTCTCCTTTGTTAATAAGGCCATTTTACAAGCTGGGGAAAATATTTCCTGACCACAAGGCCACTGGTTAGCCATTGATCAAACCACCTGCTGCACCACACAATAGACTTGGCCCACTGAGAGGCTCAGGGGGCATCTACACATGTGCTTTACTGCCAAGTCGACTCATTAGCTCTGCACTCAAGTGTCACTTTGCATGTCTACATGTGCTATTAATGCTATAAAAGCTTAGTATTTTACTGTGCAGTATGCCTACCCTGGGACCATGTCTATATGTGCTTCCTGTTGGGAGCAAATCTGCTCCCAATGGGAGCAGCCTGGTACAAGGCTGCTCCTATGCTGCTCTGGCTCCCTGAAGCAGCCAGAGGGATCTCCAAGCTCCCCTGGGTGCTAGCCCAGGGGCTGGCAGGGAGCATGAGGACCAGTCCTCATGTGCATGGGGCCAGGCAGCAGCCATCTCCTGGCCCCAGAAGACAGAGGGGTCCTGATGTGCATGGGGTTGGGAGACAGCTACTTCTACAGAGCTCTCCCAGCCCTGTGCACATGGGAACAAGTCCTGTGCCCAGGGGCTTCCCTGTGCAGGTAGGGGCTGGCTGAGGCTGTCCCACTTCTGGCACAGCTCCCAGCCAGCCCCCGGCTGGGTAGGGAAATTCCCACCCAGCCAGGGGCTTGCAGGGAGCTGCCCCAGAAGCAGGACAGCTGCTGGCTAGTCCCCAGCTAGGTGGGGAAGCAGAGAGCTTCCCAGTCCCAGTGCTGTTTAGCTCCCAGATCCTGTGGGTGAGGATTTCCCCACCCAGCCAGGGGCTGGCTGGGAGGTGCACCAGAAGCAGGACAGTTGCCAGCCAGTCCCTGGCTTCTCAGGGGTTTTCCTGCCTAGCTGGGGGCTGACTGAGGTCTGCCCCAGAAGTGGAAGAGCTCCCAGCAAGCCCCCAGCTGAGTGGGGAAGTAGAAAGTTCCCCAGTCCTGTGGGGAGCCAGGAACCGAGCAGCGCTGGGATGCGGGGGGCAGATAGAGAGCTATCCTGTCCTGGCACTGCTCAGGAGCTGAGCAGCGCCAGGACCGGGGGACTTCCCCATCCCCTGTGGCTCCTTTGTGCTGGGGCTCATCAGTAAAAAAATTGCTCCTGGTCATGGTCTACACATACACTATTGCACAGTAGTGCAGGTAGTTTAGTACCTGTATTTACAGGTAGTAGCTAACAATGCAGTAGACTAATTTACTGTGCAGTAAATAGTGCGCATGTACAGACAGTGATGCTTTACTGCACAGTAGATTAGTCTACTGCACAGTAAAGCATGTTATAGATATGCCCACTGCCTACAAGTGCATCCCTCTTAGGTCAAGAAAAACTAGTTAACTCTGCCATAGGATAGTACTGCCTGACACAAATACTATTGTACGGTGGAGTTATTTACTTTGTTGCAATGCACATGTAGATGATGACTGGGACTGGCTGGGGCACAGGGGTGCTACAGTGTAGGGGCTGCCTGCTGGCTATCCCTGCACTGTAGCACTCTCATGTCTCAGTCATCCCTTCTGCAGCACATTGGGTTCGGGTGGAGCAGCTTCAGGCTGTCAGACTGAACTCCGAGGCCCCCTGCCAGCTGGGGCTGTGCCGCCCTAGCTCAACATGCTGAGGTCCCAGGAGCATGTGTAAACGCTGAGCCTGTGAGCAGTAAACAGACCATACGAGGAGAGGCTGAAGGACACAGGACTGTTCAGTCTGGAAAAGAGAAGACTAAGGGGGGACTTGGTGGCAGCCTTTAAGTATATAAGAGGTGAACATCGGGGCTAGAAGAACATTTGTTCACCAAGGCAACCCAGGAGAGGACTAGGAATAATGGTCATAAACTGATAGAAGATCACTTCAGATTAGAGAAGGACAAACTTCTTTATGGTTCATGTGTCCAGAGTCTGGAACATAATCCCCCCAGAGGTGGTACAGTCACTTTCCCTGGAGATTTTCAAAAGACGACTGGACACACACCTCACTGGGGTCATCTGACCTCAGCAGTCTTTCCTGCCTTAGAGCAGGGGGGCTGGACCTGATGATCTTGTGAGGTCCTTCTAGCCTCTAACTTCTATGAATACCTTTTAGAATGTGAATGATATTACTTTTTAGTTTTATACTTCTAAAAAAATTACTTTTATCATTCTAAAAAAAAAGAGTAAAAAATGAAGGGCGAAACTAGTCATTAATTAGCATGGAATTTTACATGCAATTGTAGACTACTTTTTTTGTTATTGCTGCATATTTCATAGTCAGTGAGTATGTCTACATGAGATGATCATGTGCAGTAGACTAATTCTACTGCACATTAGTATGTCACAGCAAAAGTCATAATAATGCGTTAATGTACAGTAAAATTAGTTTACGGCACATTAGCATCACTTAAAAGGGTGCATCAGTGCTACTGTGCAGTAGTGCCAGGTACTATGTACGTAGGTAGTACCTGCCTGGTATTACAGGTACTAAACTTAATGTGCAGTAACCGCAGAGCATTAATGCTCACGTTAGATGTGCCCAGTGTTACTAGAAGGAAAGTTTTTAAGTTTATTAGGTCCAATATTTTCCCTAAATGGCAGATATTTTTTCCCCTTCCAGGAAAAGAAGTTGCTTCTTGCCCTGCAAGCCAGATCTTCCATTACAATCTGACTACCTGTCAATACACCTGCCGCTCCTTTACTGATGGCAATAAGCACTGCTCTCATGACTCCATTCCCATGGATGGCTGTGGCTGCCCTGATAACACCTACCTGAATGAAAAGAGTGTGTGTGTGCCTATCTCCAAATGCTCATGCTACTATAAGGGAGAATACCTAGACGCTGGCACTGTTATTTTGAGAAATGAAGATCGCTGGTATGTTGTTATTGAGTTTGGATTGCAGAGATGGAAGCCCCACTTCTCTTTATCTTTGCTTCTTAAGTACACCCATATACCAAATCTTCTTGCACACAACACACACTTTCCCAGAAAAACAGCTGCTGGAAACTAGAGAGAGCGTTATATATGGGAAATGTAATAAGAACAGTTTCTGTTAGTTATGAGCAAAAGTGAAGGTAAAATCTGCCGGTCATGCAGGGAGCAGAACAGTGAGCAGGCTCTGTTCCTTATCTGCTACTACTTACTTACTTACTACATGGAAAGACCTTTCAAAAACAAGGTGCCTATTATATTTCAGGGCATGTTGTATGCAGGAAAATTCAGTATGAACGTTACTGATAATATACATTTCCCACCAACCACCTGCCAAAACAAGATATATGAGTCTACCGATCTATCAATCCATCAGTTCATTTATTTTTTATATATAGTACATGTGTTTATTTTCTGAGGTGAGTGGTGGCCTGTAGTGGTAACTTTTGGCCTGTCATCACTGTTATAGTCTATGCCTGTGGGTCTCAAACTTTTTTTTTCACGGACCACTTAAAAATTGCTGAAGGTCTTGGCAGACCGCTTAATAAACTTTATTTTTGTTCTACAAATCAAAGCACACAACTCATATTTTAAGATCGGTAGTCTTACCTTTCTTATGCAATGGATGTGCCTGCTTTTTTTTAGCAAAGGTCTGGGAAGTCAGGTGTAATGTTTGTCAGCTTTAGCCTTAGGTCACCTTTCTGCAGACCACCTGAATGGAGCTCACGGACCAGTGGTGGTCTGCAGACCACCGTATGAGAACCTCTAGTCTACTTTACAGGTTTTTATGGGGCACATTTACCTGAGACGCTTACTGCACATTAGCCTAATAATACTGTGCAGTAGCTTGTCATGGCAAAAACTGTGCTAACAGGCTATTGCACAATGTTATTAGGCTAATGCACAGTTAGCATCAATAAATAACGGTTTGCTGGCACTACTGTGCAGTAACTCTAGATACTGCACATTTAGATAGTACTTTATAAGGAAGTACTAAACTAAATGCACAATATCTAAGGTGCATTAATGAACACATAGATGCACCCACTGTGGAATGGGGAAAGGAAGCTGTGTGAGCAATTAGCAGATTTCCTGCTAAAAATAATTTATTGAAGCATCATTTTGCAGTGTAACAATTACTATGTTATACTGATTTAATGTGACATGGGGTCCTAAAAGTAAATTGTGGGCTCCTACCTGCAATATTCTTTTTCACTAGAGTTCTTGCAAAACTCTTCCTTCCCCAAGTACTCAAAATGTAGTCCTCAGCATCACTCATTAGGAAATCTCACTAAAAATCATGTGGGAATTTAATTTACACTGTAAATTTCACTAAGTATCACTCCCCCAATAAATCACTTAGATACATTTATTACCCTGTCATCTAAGAAGATGGCATGGGAATAGGAAGGTTTTGAAAGTCCAAAAGAATAATTGTTTGGTGCATGTAGCAATCTAGTGTGTTAATTTCTTTGGCTTTGCAAAGTGCTTTCAAAATTTTACCAATGACCTTATATATACATCTATTAGACTTACAATGAAACTACCTGCTATGATTTGCATACTATGAATTTCTATTTTATCTCTCCTTTTTTAGTGTTTGCCACAATGCCAGGCTCCGTTGCACTCAAGTGAAGATCAGAAGTCAAAGTGAGTGAAATCCTTGAGAAAAATAAAAAATAATTAGTTTCTACTTTGAGTTTTCTGCTCATTTCAAACCGTCACTCCTTTTCAGTTTATTTTTGGTAGAAATGGTTTTCAATGATAATTAGTTTCTATAATAAGTATACATGATCTGCGATTTGTCTCAATCTCAGCTACCACTCTGCCCCTTTAGTCCTCCTTTACATTTCTTGTCCTGTTCACCCAATCTAACAAAGTATCATTTTTTACAGGGTGTCCTCCTGGCAAGATTCACTTTGACTGCGACATCTCGTCTTGGAGTTCGCAAACCCCACTACAACGTAACTGCCAAACTCAGAATAGTGACCATGTATGTCTTCATTTTACCTATGACATGACCCTTTTATTCTTATCATCCCTAAATGAAACAGAGTAGCATGAAGCTCTTGGGATAAAAATTTGGATTGATATGTCTTTTTATCCTTTCCTTTCCTTTGCTTTCCTTTTAAACTCCTTTTCTTTTTTCCATCATTTTCTTTCTCTTAACATTTTTCTATTCTATTTTTCTGTCTCATTTTATGCATTCATTTTCTAGTCATTGACTTTTTTCTTTCTTTTCTTCATTAGGAAAGTCATAAGATGCCTGAATATTTCTGTTATCATCCAGCATGGTGCTTTTCTGTTTAAAACAAACAAAAATAGATAATCTGAACTTTTCTTCTTTGTAAAATATCATGGAAATTCTCTGGCAACAAGCTGTTAGCAAGATGAACATTATAGAATAACTAAGAGTGAAATGTGGGGTATTCTGATTGGAGATTAGTAAATATAATACCTATTTTCAAAAAAGAAAAGAAATAGAATGCAGACAATTTCAGGTCTTTGTTCAACTGTGATATTATGCAAAGTCCTACAAGAGTAATGGAGGGAAAGTCTCCCAGGGTTCAGTACTCAGACCAGTGCTTTTCAACATATTCATCAATGATTTGGATATGGGTGTGAAAAGCGTACTGGCCAAGTTTGTGGATGGCACCAAGTTATGGGGGAGTGTGGTCACGCGGGAAGAAAGGCTGAGGATACAGGCTGACCTGGACAGGCTTGTAAGGTGGGCAGGTCAAAACCTGATGATGTTTAACACTAAGAAATGTAAAGTGCTGCATCTGGGGAGAAATAATCCGCAATATACTTACAGGCTTGGCAGTGCTACACTAGCTAGCACTGCAACTGAAAGAGACTTAGGGGTCATGATAGACCACTGAATAAACATGAGCTACCAGTGCAATGCTATAGCCAGCAGAGAGAACAATACACTGGCGTGCATCAACCGATGCATCTTGAGCAAGACTAAAGATGTCATCCTCCTGCTCTACTCAGCATTGGTGAGGTTGCAACTGGAGTACTGCATCCAGTTTTGAGTGCCACACTTCAAAAAGGGTGTGGAGAAGCTTAAAAGAGTCCAAAGGAGGGTCACACGAATGATTAGAAGTCTGGAGAGCAGGCTATATGAGGAGAAGGTGAAGGACATGTGACTGTTCAGCCTGGAGAGGAGAAGAGTTAGGGGGGACTTGGTGGCAGCCTATAAGTATATAAGCGATGTACATCAGGGGCTGGAAGAGCATCTGTTCACCAAGGCACCCCAGGAGAAGACAAGGAATAATGGACATAAAACTGCTAGAAGATCACTTCAGATTGCATATAAGGAAACACTTCTTTACAGTTTGAGTGTCCAGAATCTGGAGTAGACTCCTCCCAGAGTTGGTCTGGAGATCTTCAAAAGATGACTGGATGCACACCTCTCTGGGGTCATCTGACCCCAGCAGTCTTTTGTGCCTAAGAGCAGGGGGGCTGGACCTGATGATCTCATCCCTTCCAGCCCCAACTTTTATGAATCTGAATAATCGAGGATATGGAGGAAAACAGAAAAATAGACAAAAGATAACATGGAGTTTTTTGCAAAAAAGATCACATCAGATCAATTTCATATTCTATCATAGAATAACAGGGCAATTCAGTGGATCTATTCTATTTAGATTAAGGAGAATCTCTGGAAAGGAAATTATTAGTTGAACTGAAAAAGATGGGGATTAATACTATAAACATAAAGGGGATAAAAAGTTGGCAAAAAGGGAGATTATACTAAGTTATATTAAAAGAAGAGTGGTCAGTTTGGAGAGAGTCTAATTGCAGTGCTTTTCAAGATATGGTCTTAGGATCTACCTGTTTAACATTTTAATTAACAACCTTAGTATAGGAACTAGATGTGTGCTGATGGAATTTGAAGATGACAAAGCTGCTGGGTAGTATGGGTGTGCGAAACGGGCTATATTTGATTTGGATTTGGCCCAAATCGGGGACAGTGATTCAATTCGTTGATTCGTATCACTGTCCCAGTTTGATTCAGCAGAATCTGAAGATTCAGTGCTGATTCAGAGAATCAGCGATTTGGCCATAGACACAGTTTTAAATGTTTTTTCAACATAGCTCATGAATGCTGCAATGCTGGGGTGCATGGATCATACCACAGGAGTGTAGGCCCCCCCATGCTCAGTGGCGAACCTGGAAGTAGACTGGAAGTACTTCTGGTCCACTTCCAGGTCTGCCGCTGAGAGTGCAGCCCCACCCCCCTCAAGCATTGGGCACCCCCCCCCCCTCAGTGATTGGCTATGGGGGGACCCTGGGTGCCCCCCCAGACCCAGGAGGCACCAGTCACTGAGCCATGGGGGTAGTGGGGGGGGGGCCTTGCGCACTCCCCAGTGGACCTGGAAGCAGACTGGAAGTGCTTCTGGTCCACTTCTGGGTCTGCTGCCGAGTGCAATGGGGAGCCCCTCCCCACTTCTGTGGGACACTCCATGCACCCCAGCATCACAGCATTCACGAGCCATCTGCTACCTAGAGGTATGTAGAAAAAACATTTAAAGCTGCGTCTGTGTCCAAATCATCAAATCTTTTTGAATCTCTCCTAATCAACTCAGAGGGTTCTGGTTTGATTTGGAGAGATTAAAGGGTCTCTTGATCCGATTCAGATTCAGAGATTTGGCCACCGAATCGGGCCGAATCTCCACTGAATCTCGTCAGGGATCAAAGCTTCGCACAGCCTTACTGAGTAGTACCAACACGGGAAGGTGCTGAGTAGTACCAATGCTTCTTATAATCATATAGGAAAAATTCGATAACCTTGTGGACTGGAACAGCAGAAATGTTATGAAGACTAATCCTAAGAACTTCTTTTGTAAGATGAGGACTGACAGGCTGAAGGCAGTGGGGGAAAAGAGGGTACTAGTTGTGCCCTTATCTCCCCTGCTCTTTACCTATGGTACATTCTAGGATTTTTAGTTGTTCATAGGGTGCTTTGTGCCTCTGGTGCATGAAAGGAGTTGAAGTGGATGATCTTTCAGACTCTTTGGACAAATACTTGCCTATATTCAGAGAGCTGAATTCAGTGGCCTTGGAGAACATGACAGTTTTATGTCCCTATGTAAATGACTGGATTAGAAATTAAATGCAGTTTCTGGGATGAGTGTTTGCAGAAGAAAAGGTGAAGTAGAGAATTCATAAAAGTAATATAAATTAAAATTTGTATTTCTTTTCCTTAGTTCCAGACGGAGTGCATCTCAGGTTGTGTATGTCCTGCTGGATTGATTGATGATGGCAGAGGGCACTGTGTTCAGGAGAAGGATTGTCCATGTATTCATAATGAGAATTTTTATTCTTCTGGAACAAACATAACAGTGGATTGCAACACCTGGTAAGATGTTGTGATCTTTCAGTCTCTCCTAACATATTATTTTTCTTGTGGTGAACAAAGGATAATGTTAGGATATAAGAACTGCTCTTATGAGATACACAAGCTTTAATTCTCAGGTCTATTCTGGTTGCCCTGTGAGTGTGAAGGTTAACTGAAAGATTCCTTTTGTGAAAACTTAGCTAATACCATAAATATTGAGGTAATAGTCTCTGTTCATCTTAGACAAAAGTAGGACATTTTAAGAGGAACCACTATAACTTTACTCAGAATCACTATAACTTTGCACATCTTGAACCTGACAGCTTAATGAGCTAATGTAATCAGGACTCATCATGTTTTATACCCAATGGCTAACATCACATCTGGCCACATTTGACACTTCTCAGTGCAAATGACTAGGTACCCATTTGTAGTAGGAGCAGCCTTTGGCGTAAGTCCAAAAGAAAGCTCAAATCCTTGCTTCTGGAGTGATAAAAAGATGCTCTGCCACCCCACTCGGCTACCCCACTGCGGCATCTCTTTGTAGTAGGAATCATTTATTGAATAAAAGTGCCATTCTGGGGGTAAGACGGATAGCAGAACCAACAGCAAACTAAGTAAAGCTAATAGCTATACTATAAACTTAATCATGGACTTAATTTTTAGTGCACTAGGCCCACATCATAACTGGTGAGGAGGGAGTGATTTGTAGTGCCCTGCAACAGAGAGGTGCTTATAATACATGTTATAGACTCCATATGGGTCAGGGAATTGCATGGTTCAGTGGTGTACCACACTCATTGAGTACCTGGTGGGGGGGCACCAGTTTGCTCACCCCACTCACCCCCATCCTCCCATAGTTACATAGCTTAGTGTGGTGCTGCATTGCTCAGCTCCTATGGCTAGTTAGAGGCAGCCTCCTTGGTGGAGGGGCAGCCTCCCTGCCACTGCAAAGACTGCTGGTGTTGTTGGTGGTGGGGATCCTGGTGCCCCCTCATAGTCAATGTCTGGGACATGTGTTTCCCTTTCTCTGCCCTAGTTATGCTACTGCCATGCTTTGTCCCCACCTTTTCAAACAATATATATAAAGATGAAACTCTTTTACTCTACCCCTAGTACTTGCCAGAAAGGAAAGTGGAGCTGCACTGTTGGTGATTGCTTTGGGACTTGCAGTATATATGGAAATGGCCATTATATTACCTTTGATGGAAAACAGTATGATTTTGATGGAGACTGTGAATATGTGGCTGTTCAGGTAGGTTCAGTGGGAGCAGTAAACAAAAGTGAAAAGTTGCTACAGAGCCATTAACTACTTTTAAAGGATTGATCAATTTGGTTCTAAGCTTACCTCTCTCACATCCTCTTTCTCTGAGGTCACAATTTATAGGTTTCTACTGAGCTAAATCCCATATTTGCAGAAGATCTGGGATGCGTGATTAAGCAAATGGTGTTTTCAGCTTGCTGAGTGAAAATCTCAGCTGATGAGGGAACTGCAGATTTTATGAAAATTGGCTAACTGGGGAATGAGAACTGTTGGCTAATCAATATTGTTCCAAAACAAGTGGCTGATTCTGAATTCCAAAAATGAATTTATTTATTTTGGCACGTATGACATTTTTTCATTGAATAGTCCTACTTATTTCTAGTATTTGGCAAACAAATTTAATATAGAAAAATGGATAGATATGCATATATTGATAATGCAGATACAGAAATTAGCCATCTAGCTACATCTGTCTAAGTAGCAGTAATAGACTAATTAAGTAATTCACATTAAATGAATAAGTTTAAAATATTTTTAGGTTAAAATAAGAAAAAAATAAAGAATATGATTTCTTTTATTTATTTATATTCTGTGCTTCTACTTTTAATAGGATTATTGTGGTGAAAAAAATTCCAGTGCTTCATTTAGTATCCTTACAGAAAATGTCCCTTGTGGAACCACAGGAGTTACCTGCTCAAAGGCTATTAAAATATTTTTAGGGGTGAGTATTGACAAGGATGAATTCATACCTAGTAGGCAGCTAATCAAAACTGCCATGCATATGTGGAGGAATCCCTTGACATTACCCTTCAGAGGGGACCAAGTGGGGATGAAGGGATCTATTTTTTTTCCTTTAATTCAACATGTTTTTCTTGCACGGAAGGGGACAATGAATGGGTTTTAGAGACAGCCTGGGCCCCCCTTTTGAGGGAGGAAGTTTAGTTTGGAAAGAATAATAAGGGTGTGGGAGATTCCCCTAAGTGAGGCAGGAAAGTAGAATGTTAGGGAACATAGTTTGTGGGGAAATTGTTGTTGTAGGATGTTAAGGAATACAGTTTCAGGGAAATAGTTATTTTTATTGAATATGGGCTGGGAACCAAGGCTGGGTTGAGCAGGGCCAGATACTCAGATTGGTCTGACAGAGGGAAGCAGGAGTGGGTGAAGTGGAGTGGTTTGCTTCTGAGTTTGTTTTTCTTTTTTCTTTTCTAAGTGGAGGTTTTCTTATATTAATATTTATTTTGTTTCTATAATTCTTTTTTTTCTCTTTTATTGAAAACTTCCCTGAGCCTTTTTGGGAAGGGTAGCATATAAATCTAACAAGTAAATGAATATCTAGTTCCTTAAGGCAAGTGAAATCTGAAGCCCCCAGTGAAATGCCTTAGAATCAGTTACTGGGACTTGTTGCAGCTCCATTAAGGTCCATGGAGCTATGCTGATTTCTGAAGAGTCAGCTTAGAGGTTTTTCATTGTTTCAAAGTCCATCACCTTTCCTTCTCTAATGTCTTGTCTTGTTATAAGAGATTACAGGTTGGGTCGATATCGACCTGGAAAGATGTGGGCAGTGGAGTCCCAGGCTCAGTCCTTGGACCCGTGCTGTTCAGGGTCTTCATCAGTGGCTTGAATGAGGGTGTGGAGAGCACTCTGTCCAAATTTGCAGATGATACCAAATTATGGGATAAAGTTAACATACTATAGGATAGGGAACAAATCCAGGCAAATCTGGACACATTGGAAAAGTGGGCAGAACAGAATAGGATGCAGTTCAACAAAGACAAGTACAAAGTGCTGCACCCAGGGAGAAGGAATCACCAACACACCTACAGGCTGGGGGAGGACCTTCTCAACAGTACAGCAGCAGCGGAAAGGGAGTTGTTGAGACTAAGATGAACATGAGTTGTCAAGTGATGAAGTGATCAACAAGGCTAACCACACTTTATCATGCATTAGCAGGTACATGACGAACAGGTCCAGGGAGGTGATAGTTCCCCTCTATGTGGCATTGGTCAGGCCACAGTTGGAGTACTGTGTCCAGTTTTGGGCACTGCACTTCAAGAGGGATGTGGACAACCTCGAGATTCAAAGGAGGGCCACTCATATGGTTACGGGCTTGCAGGCAAAGCCCTATGAGGAGAGATTGAGGGACCTGGATCTCTTCAGCCTCTGCAAGAGAAGGCTGAGAGGTGATATTGTGGCTGCCTACAAATTAATTGGGAGAGGAGGGAAGGTACAGCAAGGAATAGGAGATGCTCCGTTTACCAGGGCACCCCCTGGAGTAACTAGGAACAATGGCCACAAACTGACAGAGAGCAGATTTAGGTTAGACATCAGGAAGAACTTCTTTATGGTAAGGATTCCCAGAATCTGGAATGGACTTCCAAGGAAGGTGGTGCTCTCCCCTACCTTGGGGGGTGTTTAAGAGGAGGCTGGACATGTGCCTGGTGGAGTCATCTGACCCCACTGCTCTTCCTGCTCATGGCAAGGGGTTGGACTTGATGATCTACTGAGGTCCCTTCTGACCCAAACATCTATGAATCTATAATAACCAGTGCTATTACAACCTTGCCCTTTTTATTTTTCAGAGGACTGAACTAAAGTTGCAGGACAAAGAACTTTTGGAGATTAGAAAAGATCATGGTGAGCATGTGAATTATTGGACTCGGAAAGTGGGTCTGTATCTTGTTATTGAGGTCAGCAATGGTTTGATGGTTATCTGGGATAAGAAGACGACTGTTTTCATCAAGCTGACCCCTTATTATAAGGTAAGTGACCCTGTGCCTACTTTCTAAAATATTTTATTATAATGATTAAGGCACACTATTATAACAAAAATGAGCAGTTACTTTCTGGATCCATGAAGTTTAAGGTTCAGATCCACAGAGGGCCTTAGGACGTGTGTAGATGAAATGGAGGCCCTAAATTGAAGTGGTGGGTTTTTAAAAACACCACTTCAATTTAGGGCCCTTTAAACCCCCGTATCATGCACACACTGACATACCCGGCAGCTGGGAGGGGAGGGCAGGCTGCTGGTGGGCAGAGTGGTCCCTGGGCAGGACGGGGCGGGGGCTGGTGCTTCCGTCCGCGGCAGTGGTGGCCCCCCCGAGGTGGCATCTGCCCACAGCATGCAGCTCGGGCGGTCCCAGGGGAGCACCGCAGCTGCAGAGGGAAGCACTGGGCCCCCGTGCAGCTCATTTATGCAGGCAGGCTCCATTGCGGGGCAGGGGGGAGATCAGGCTTGCTGCTTTTTTTGGGTGGAGCCTGCCTTCCTGGGCTGCTGCAGGGCTTCCTGCAGAGCTCCTGAGCTGCTCAGAGCCTGGTGCTTCGCTCCACAGCTGTAGGGGCACTCGGAGGAGTTTTAGTTTGTTGTACTCGAAGTAATTTAAGGCGCATTATGCTGCCAAGTTTCCTACAGTGGCTGGAATTAATTCACAATACGCCGCTGATGTGTGCAAACACTGGCACCATTAAAGTGGTGCAAAAGCATTTAGCCTGCTTTAAAGTGTCTTGCACACATGCCTGTCATTTTGTCTTCCCATGGCCTTAGGTGCAACAGTTTTCTAATCAGTAAGAAAATGCTATAAAGAAGGTTGTGTTTAGTATTACCCAGGACACTTAAAAAAGGACAAAAAGAAATCATTTTCAGCAAAAAAGTTGTATGATGGATATAGACAATTTTCCTAACTGTTAGAGCAGTGAAACACTACCACATGCTACTAAGGGACACTGTAGGATTTCCCACATTTGGGATTTTAGAAAGTGGGGTAGAAAAACATCTGATCCTGCTTTCATGCAGGGGGTTGGACTACATATAGAGTTCAAGACCCCAAGGAAGAAAGAAAGAGGAGAAGTAAAATAGACACTGAAACTTCAGGAAAGAAGACTTGGAGAACTGTTAGGCAGGATTCACTGGGAGGCAAGTCTGAGGGGGAAACGTAGTCCGGGAGAGCTGGCTGTACTTTAAGAAAGCCTTGTTAAGAGTGCAGAAGCAAACTATCCCAATACAAAGAAAGAATAGGGAGGCGGGCCTGCCTAAAAAGTGAACTTCATAATGAGCTGAAACTCAAAAAAAGAGTCATAGAAAAAAAGGAAACTTCTTATTACCAGAGAAGTGAATAGCAGCATTGCATGAGCATGCAGGGGGGAAAAATCAGGAATCCCAAGACACAATTTGAGATGCAATTAGCAAGAGATATCAAAGGAAATAAAAAGTATCTACAAGTATATCAGAAGTGAGATGAAGACTAAAGAAAATATAGGTCCCTTACTGAATACACAGGGCAATCCAGTAATGGATAATGCAGACAAGGGTGAAGTTTTTAATGCCTGTTTTTTTACTTAAGTCTTCACAAATAAGATTGGCTACCAGATGACAAGTACAGTTGGCAGCAAAACAGGGGATGAGTTACTAAGCATGAAGTAGTGAAAGAACAGGTTCAGGCTTACTTAGGGTAGAAACAGACATCATTAAATGAAGTAGATTACCTGTACTGGGATGTGTCCCAGTACAGCTGATCTGCTTCAGTGGGTGAAACACACATCACCCATTGTCCCATCTGCTGTTGCTATGAGACAATGGGTGACATTCTTGTGGGGCATGATGATCCTGTGCACCCTGGGAATTCCCACACAGGATCAAATCTCTCTCGCCCTGGAAGTGCCTGTCTGGCTTTCCCCACTTACCAAGACATGCCCCTTGGATCTCTGGGATGCATCTTGGTAAATGGGGAGAGTTGGGGTTTTGTTGCTTACCAAGATATACCCCTGGGATTTCTGGGTTCCATTTTGGTAAACTGGGAAAGCTAGGCAGGTACTTCCAGGACTTGAGGGATCTGCTTCTGTGCAGGAATCCCCAGGGTGCACAGTATCAAAGCCCCACAAGCCCCTGGTGCACCTGGTTGGGACGGTTGGGGAGCACAGGTAGCTTCAGGCTTCAAAAAATTATCATGCAATAAAGTAAACAGACATCTACAGCTAAAGAGGAGCACAAATTGATACCAACTTCATAATGGCCACATATGTAGCATGCAAAGGGATGTAGACATCTATTTGCTTAGCTTGTTTGCCACCATAAACATTTTTATGATGGCACGAAGGTGACAAAAGGTGATGTCTGTTTCCATCTTTAGTGAAGCTGGATGTTTTGAAGTCAGCAGAGCTAGATGGCATGCACGCTAAGATGCTGAAGGAATTGCCTGAAGTACAGTAGCAAAACTGAGGGGTGTGCAACTGGGGAAGGAGACTCAGGCATTGCCTTTGGAGGCAGGACATGCAAACATAGCCACCAGCGCAGCTGGCAGTGCCACCACCATTGGCTGTACAGCGGTCAGTGCTGGTCTGCATGTTGTCACTGTCCAGGGCGTGGAGTAGCCCTGTTATGCCCCTACTGAGATATTTTAAGAGTCATTGGCAATCATCTTTGAGAATTTGTGGAAGACATATGAAGTCCCAGATGAAGGTAAAATGGCAAATATAGTGCCCATCTTTAAAAAAGAAGAAAAAGGATCCAGGACCAGTCAGTTTGACCTTAATACTAAGACAGATTATGGAGCAGGTCATCAGGGAGTATATTTCTAACATCTGGAGGAGAAAAAGTTTATCAAGAACAGTCAGCATGGATTCATCCAGACCAAGTCATGCCTGAGCAACCTGATTGCCTTCTATGATAAGGTGACAGGCTCTGTGGATAGTGGGAAAGTAGTAGATGTGATATAACTTAACTTTAGCAAGTCTTTTGATTCTGTCTCCTATTGTTATATGTGGACCAGTTGGGAATGATACAAACAGATCAAAATGACTCCAACTTTAACACTGAACACATCAACTGTTGAAGTTGAAGCAGTTTTTGCATCTGAATCCATGAGCAGCTCTATGATTTTGAAAAGGGGTATGCAGATAGTGTGGTGCATCATCCCATATAACACAGTCCATATCTTTCTCCAAGAAAAAAAGAAACTAGAAGCTTTATTAATATGGGAGGGTGCTAGGGCTATATTGTTCAGTTTAACATTGAAGCAATAATAAATATAACTTCATTGCAATGAGTTTAAAACAGTCTGCAGGGCTGTGGAGTAGGAGCTTCATTACTAGAAACAGCTAAGAGATTGCAGAAAAAAGGCTGACTTGAATAGTGGAACATCAAGACTGTTAAATAGGAGAAAGGGTCTTTACTAGTACCAGTAGAGTGAAGAGTTTAGAAGGAATCAGGTGGATTTTAATGAATCATTAATTCAGTTGATGCTCTCAGTGCTGCCTCACTAGAAATGCTGCTGCCACTGCCAAGCAGTTGGTTTTAAACTTTGGATGGATCAGGAACCAAAAGGGAATGCAACTGCACCCCCCTCCCCCAGATCTGCCCGTTTGCATCATTCCCAGCTTGTTTTGAAGCATTCCCCTTCTGAAATGGATCCAAATGTACATGTGTCTGTACCCTATGTTTTTTATTGCATTCTGATTAGATGGGTGTCAACTAACAAAAATCCCTTGAGACCCCCAGTATCAAGTTTTAGTCAATGTCTTACAAGAAATACTTTGCAATGTTGAAATATACCTTCAAGATAATATGTCTGGTCATCAAGACCAACACTTGTTAGAAATAAACCTATACAAATAACATCTCAGCGTTCTAGGGACAAGATTTAGGTATCTGATTTACATTTATGAGAGCAGTAATCAAAAAGCTTCTTGTTTGCCACTGTACAGGACTGAAAATTGTAGCCACTGTTTGGATCATTGCAAAGTAAACATAAATAAACACATACACGCACACATCGGGGGACAGAATTGGGACCTGTTCCTGACCAGCAGAGTTCCCAGCCCCAACCCTGCAAACCGGGTGGAGGCTGGGAAGCTTGTTCCCTACTCAGCTCCATGAGCACAGAGCTGGGTAGGGGACGTGCTAGGGAGCTAGTTCCCTGCTCAGCTCCATCAGTGCAAAACTGGGTGGGGGGAACAGGCTGGGGAGCTTGTTTCCTGCTCAGCTGCACAGTGTGGAGCTGGAGGGGAACAAGCTCCCCAGCTTGCCCCCTCCAAGCTCCATGCTTGCAAAGCTGAGCAGGGGACAAGCTCCCCAGCTCAGAGCTGGGTGGGGAACAGGCTCCTCAGCCCCCAACAGCAGGGAGCTCCCAGTGCCTGCCCTGTACCATGGGGCCGGTGATGAGATACCCTTATCTCTCAGTGCCAGTTCCACAGTCGCAGGGCCAGTGCTGGGAGACCCTTATCTCCCAGCACTTCCTTCGTGGTCATGGAGCTGGTGCTGGGTGATAAGGGACTCCCAGCCCTCTGCTCCCTGATTGTGATTTCAGAGCGGGGGGCTTAGAGTTTCCTGCTGCTGGGGCAGGGGGCACAGTCCCCACCCAGGCTCCTGTGGTGGAGCCTGCCCTGGCAGCAGGCAGCTCCCGGGGGCAGGGAACAATCTCCTACCCCCTGGTGGACGGCTGACCAGAAGCAGGTTTGCTCTCTGTCAGGAGTCTACATGAGCGCTATTGTGACATTACTAATCAAAAGTAAATTTGCTACTTGCATTTGCAGGTAGAAAATTTACTTGCGATTAGCAAGGTTTAGTGTATAATAAGCATGTGTACGTATAGACACACATGCTTACTTCACAGTAAACTATACTACTACCCAGGTAAGCACCTCGTGTATATGTGCCTACTTCACTAGGAATCCGTGCTCACATACCAGGTTAAACTTGAACTATGACAATGTGTTTTGAAAACAAACTTCATCTGCTTTTCAGGGCAAAATCTGTGGTCTGTGTGGTAACTTTGATGACAAGTCCAACAATGACTTCACAGCAAGGAGCAAGCTGCTTGTAAACAAAGCTCTGGAGTTTGGGAATTCTTGGAAACATGACCCCAGGTGCCCTGATGTGACAGCAGAGATCCAGCCCTGTGATGTGAAACCTCATCGAAAGTCGTGGTCACAACTCGAATGTAGTCTTATCAAGAGTCCTACCTTCAAAACATGTCACCCCAAGGTAAGCAGTACAAGTGAACCGCTGCATGGGTAGGTGGTCCAGAGGAGGCTAGATGTGCAAAACTGTAGGAAGATATAATCAGGATAGTCCCAGGCTATGACTATACTGCCACTTGAGGTGTGATGGCATCAGAAACAGACATTTCCAAGCTTGCTTAGCTTGAGTATCGATCACAGTGAAGCTGTGGCAGCACAGGCTTGGGCATGGGCTGTACAGACCTGCCTTAGGATATGAACAGGCAAAGTTTTTACCAGAGGTGAGGCAACTCTCTGGTAACTTTCTATGTCTCCACTATTACACCACAATAAGAAACTAAAGCATGGTAACTTTCATCTTTTTTCATGGACTGCTAAACTGACATCTATAATAGGGTAAGCAAGTGCACATGAGAAGTTACCCCCGAGCAGCTGACATGCATTAAAGAAGTTGTTGGTCCCCTATTCTTGGTCATTGTAAAATTACTCAGGCAGCCAATGTAGCTTCATTTCCTGTTAGTAGCTAGCTGGCAGAAAAATGTGCTGCAATCATGGTTTTAATGAAAATGTAGATAAAAGTTAAGGCGTTATAATTTTTAAAAATGTTGATTATAGAATCTGCAATTCAAGGTTAGGTGTTCAGGTGTCTACAACTTTTTGCAATAGTTCATTTGAAGATTTGTTATATTTTCATGTATTGGACTAATGTGTCCATGTTCTTCACTGTGAGAGTAATTCCTTGCCCTCTACTCATGGGCTTCCTAAGAAATTACCCTAGAGCAAAACTATTACCAAATCACATGCAGTAAGCAGCTTCTAGCCTAGAAGATTTCTGAGATTCCAAGCTGAAAACATAATTATGATGTTAACTGGGACACTGTTTCTTCCCAGGTGGACCCAACTCCGTTCTATGAAGCTTGTGTTCATGATGCCTGCTCCTGTGACAGCGGTGGAGACTGTGAATGCTTCTGTTCTGCAGTTGCTGCCTATGCTCAAGAGTGTGCTAAAGCTATGGCATGTGTCTTCTGGAGAACTCCTGATATATGCCGTGAGTCATCTTTAAATATTACTGAGAGTAATGTTACTGACAGTGACTATACTTAGATTGCTGTCATAGAGGTTTCAGTCACTGCACGTGTCCTAGCACAGGGTTGTATATTGTAGCACTGAAAGCATTCACGGTGTCATGGCTCAAGATCTCAATATAGAATGGAAACAACGGGCACCTATGCACATGTCTGATGCCTGCTCCAACACGTGCTGATTAACACACGTCAGAGCAGACTCAATTAATTGGGTCTGCTGAAGCATACACATGCTGATGGGAAATTTAAGAAAGGTCTGTTTTTGTTCTGACTGGGTGGAGGAGAGGGGGGAATTAAAATGTTGAAACTGCAAGAGAGACAGCAACTCTGAGTTGTGATCTTGAATAGTTAGCACAAAAATTTCTTGTTTAGTCAGTAATGTATCTTACTAAAGCAAACTGTGCTTCAGTTGCCCCTATAAACTAGTGACTTTATTTTGACCTGCTGTGTATGACTCTAGATGCAAGTCAAACTGACTTGAATTTAGTAGCCTTTAAATAGTTTTCAAATATCCAGAGAAGGCCAACATTTTTGCAATATTTCAACAGATAGGCCAAATTCAAATCACTATTGAATCTGAATAGTTTTGTGATTTCAGTAATTTATTTCACCCTGAAGGCTTTCACGTGGTTTTTGTTGAAGTTGAGTTGAAAGAAAGTCTAGATCCTAGTGTCAAAGAGAATTATAGCCAACACACCATGTAAGATCCTTTGGCTGTTCTCACTGGGGATGGAAACAGGATCCTCACCTGGCAACTATGTTTCATTGATATCTGTTTTCTCTATCAGCAATATTTTGTGATTACTACAACGCTCATAATGAGTGTACATGGCACTATGAGCCTTGTGGCCGTGAAATTAAGACCTGCAAGATTATTACTAATCCCAGTACCAACTTCTCACTGCCTTTACTGGAAGGTAAGCAACTCTCCACTGTTTTGTATTTTAATGAAGGTTTTTTGGGGGAGTTTAAAGTACCAAATGATGGGCTTATCAAATTGATTGGCTGGACATTTCTAAGGCCCTAATTTTGAATAATAAATGGGGATGATTTACTCTTTAGTGACATCAATTGACTATATTGATCATACTCACTACTGAGTACCATTTTAAGAGCATGTCAGGGAGAAGCAAACACTTTTCATGGTAAAGTAAATTGAACTTTTATTACTGAATTATTTCTTTTTAAAATATTAATGTTTTTATTTGTCAGGTGGACTCTACTGTGACAGACATATCGTAAAGCATTTCTTTATTGCTAAATAGGAAATAAATATAAGGCCCGTTCCTTTTGGTTATTAGTGACTTCTTAAGAAGAAACACTGAATTATATTTGGAGGCTGGCATTTATGATTTTTCCAGTGTTTCATTCTGAATTCTTATTCAGGGTTTAGATACATGATACACAGGCAGATCAGGTCATTTCTGTGCCATAGGCAGCAGTGGCACATATGGCTGGACCATCTGCTGCATTGCTGGTAGCAGTGACTCTGCAAGTCACTCGCTGTGGTGGTGGCTATTTTTGTGCTCCCAAAAAGGTAGATCCTGAGGCTGCTGCCCCACATGCCTTTCTTCAGTCAGGGTGAAGTTACATGTTATACTTAAACCATACAAAGAGCACTTAAAATGTGAGTGTCCTCATATTAAAGCTCATTAATTTGTTCTAAGTGGCCTCTTAGTGTCTCAAAGTTACGCCACTTCAGGTGAGGGTTAACTCTGGGCAGTGCTACTTAGCACATGTTAGAGTAAGTTCAGTCTGCTCCATGGAGATAAAACAAGCAATTTGCAGTCTCCCTGTATCCCACCAGGATGCACCACTGCAAGCCTCCCACCACAGGTCCCCATGGCTCCCAGGGATAGAGACCAGGTGCCCTGGCTTTTAGCCACGCATTTGCTCGACAGCCCTCCAGTGGCAAGTCAGAGTTGGGTAGGCATGAAATGATGATAACCCTTAGCGTGTAATTGCTCACAGCATATTCTAACTTTAACACTGCTTAACATATGACATAGTTAGTATGGTCTAAATGTAACATGTAACTTCACCCTGAATTACATTACTGTCATGACATAAAGTTAAGCCATATTATACCATCTTCATGCCTGTGCAAAGGGCAAATGTAAAAATATATACCACAGTTAAGTCCCATTTCATTCATCCAAATAAATAGAAGTGAGATTTAAGTAAAGCATAGCCTTGTGCTCACTTTCTGCAGAGTGATTACACGCTATCTGCTGTTGATGATATTTTATTAATCCAAAGATAAAAAAAACACATTTTCACAGCTGAGTTGCATTATTGGGAAATCAAGAAAGAATTATCATAATGTACTATACGGTATTGTCTGTGTTATCTTTTCATATATTTATTTTGCCTCCTGAACACATGGGCTGACTTTTATTTAAAAGAGAGCCCTTTTAAAAAATGTAGCAGTGAAAAGAGGCCATATACTGGAAGTAATTACATATACACTAATTTTTGGGACCCTCAACATTGCCAGAGGAAGGCAAATAGGTTTTTGTGCAACTAAGAATCAGACCCATTATAGCTGCTGGCTATATGAAAGTATAGTAGTACTAAATACTCATTAGTAAAAATTAGGACTGTGTGAAACTTCGAGTGCTGATTTGATTTGGAGGAGATTTGGCCTGATTTGGAAGCTGAATCTCTGAATCTGAATTGAACTGGGAGACCAATAAAAAGATCTGAATCAATTCAAAGCTCTCTGAATTGATTCAGAGACCTTTGGAAAGATTTGGAGACTTGGGCAGTGCCCGTTTGTCGCCACAGGGAACTGGACCCGGACTCTGTGCTGATAAGTAGAGGGTTGGGGGGGGG